CCTTGTTGAAAAGCAAAGTGGCAATTCAATTAAGGTTCATAGAACAGATGGTGGTGGAGAGTATACCTCAACTGAGTTCAATAAATTCTGTGAAGACAATGGAATATTGCATGAGATCACAACACCTTATACTCCTCAGCACAATGGGGTGGCTGAAAGGAGAAATAGGACTATTGTGAACATGATAAGGTGTATGCTCAGAGAGAAAGGAGTTCCAAAGTATCTTTGGGGAGAGGCAGCAAGTACTGTAGTATACATACTAAACAAGTGTCCTACTAAGAAGCTTCAGGGTGAAGTACCATAAAAGGTGTGGTCTGGTGTGAAACCTAGTGTGAAGCACTTTAATGTTTTTGGTAGCTTATGCTATAAGCATATACCTGATCAGAAGAGGAGAAAGCTAGATGATAAGAGCAGACAAATGGTGATGGTTGGGTATCATACTGCAGGCTCTTACAAACTATTTGATCCAATTGCTAAGACATTCTCCTACAGTAAAGATGTGGTCTTTGAAGAGACGCAGGGTTGGAATTGGAATGAATCTGTTACATATTCAAGACCAATTCCTAACATATTAGAAGAAGGGGAGCATAATAATAATGAGGATTCTGGTAACATAAATGCCAGTAATCAGTTTGGTGAATTAAATTAAAGACCTGTGAGAAATAGACAACAATCAACTAGACTCAGTGAGTATGAGGTTTATGATGATGCTGAGATTGATGAAGAAGGAGAGTTATTGCATTTTGCGTTATTAGCTGACTGTGAGTTAATTGATTGGAGGCAGGCTCTATCTCAGAAGGAATGGAAGGAAGCTATGGAAGAAGAGATTAGATCCATTGAAAAGAATTCTACATGGGAACTCACAACACTACCATCACACAAGAAACCTATAAGTTTGAAGTGGGTTTTTTAGATCAAGCATAAACCAGATGGTTCAATTGCCAAGTACAAAGCCAGATTGGTAGTTAGAGGTTTCCTGCAGAAAGAGGGCCTTGATTACACTGAAGTTTTTGCTCCAGTTGCGAGATTAGAAACTATAAGAATGGTGGTTGCACTTACTAGCAGCAAAAGGTGGAAAATGGCTCAATTAGATGTAAAATCTGCTTTCCTCAATGGAGAGTTGGAAGAGGAAGTATATGTAACTCAGCCACCAGGTTTTGAAGTTGAGGGAGCAAGTGATACGGTACTCAGGCTCAGGAAAGCTTTATATGGCTTAAAACAAGCTCCTAGAGCTTGGAATAAAAAGATAAATGCATATTTGAATGATATAGGTTTCAGAACCAGTGTTAGTGAGCATGGTGTATATGTAAAAAGATCAGGGAGAGACATTGTTGTGATTTGTCTGTATGTTGATGACTTGTTAGTAATCAGCAACAATGTTGAGCAGATTGAAGATTTTAAGAGTCAGATGAAACAAAAATTTGAAATGACAGATTTGGGGAATCTGGCATATTTTCTGGGAATGGAATTTTGTTTGCAGAGTGGTGGAATTTTTATACATCAAAAGAAGTATGTTACAGACATCTTGAAGAAGTTTCAAATGACTACTTGTAATCATGCAAATAGTCCAATGGAACCTAAACTCAAACTTGGCATATGTGAGCAGGAGAATGATGCAGATGCCAGTATGTTTAGGAGTCTGGTGGGAACTCTGAGGTTTGCATGCAATACCAGACCTGATATTTCCTTCAGTGTAGGACTTATCAGTAGGTTTATGCAACAACCTAAACAATCACACTATATAGCTGCAAAGAGAATACTCATGTATTTGAAGGGTACAACTGAGTATGGATTATGGTTTCCAAATGAAGTAATATCTGAAGAAAAGGGTTTGGTGGGCTTTTCTGATTCAGATTGGAAGGGAGATGCTATTGAAAGAAAAAGCACTACATGTTATGTGTTCAAACTGAATGGTGCTACAATTTCTTGGAGTTCTAGGAAGCAGCCTAAAGTGGCATTATCCACTTGTGAGGCTGAATATGTAGCAACAGCTTATGCAACTTGTCAAGGAGTATGGCTGAATACTTTGTTGGGTGAAATACTGGGTGAAGAACAAGAAACTTTTCAGCTACTAGTTGACAATAAATCTGCCATAAACCTTGCACAGAATCCTGTTTCACATGGTAAAGCAAGCATATTGAGCCTAAGTATCATTGGTTGAGAGAAAAAGTGGGTGAAAGAAAACTGAATTTACTCTATTGCAATTCTGAAGCTCAGGTTGCTGATGTCCTAACTAAATCATTGTCAGTTGACAGCTTCAGAAGGTTCAGAGAAAAGCTTGGAGTTATAGCTCCAAGTTTGTGAGAAAAGAATGTTTTTTTTACGTAGTTTGAATTAAGGGAGAGTGTTGATGTGTATAATTCAAACTGTATGTAATAATGTGGTGTGTGCTAAATGTGGTGTGCTGAACTATACTTACTGTTACTATAAATAGTAAGGAATGTAAAATGCGTGTGGTGTGGTGGCTTATAAAGCATTAATAAAACTCTCTCTCTAATAACTAGTTTGTTATTACAGTTAGTGACCCCATCATGTTTAAGGGTAATAAGTCTTACTTCATAGTTCATACTTCATACATGTCTTATCTTTCTGTAAAATGTATCATTAATGTTATGATTAAAGTACTTCTCAACTTGAGGAAGGTATCAGGTATGACTCAAGTAAAGAAAGATACGGAGTACGTAGTATGATACATATAAGGAACTAAAGCTTTGTTTGCAAACACTAAAAAGAAGCACTTCCCACCTTTTGGCTTAAAAAATATTTATTTTATCAAACACTGCTAACTTTTACTTTTCTCGGATTTCGTGTAGAATATACTTTTTACTTTTTCTATTACACAAAAAACACTTATTTTACCAAACACTACCAACTTTTACTACTAATCACATTTTAAAAAAAAAATACTTCTTTTAACACAAACACTTGCAAACGAAGCAATTCAGGAATGTAATAAAATTTCATCTTGTCATAAAGAAAACTTATCAAGTTGTTATTTCAGATCACTTTAAGAGAGCGGTTGGCTTACATTTGAAATAATTATTTTGTACTTTATTTAAAAACTGCAAGGGGTTAGTAGATGAATTATGAACACTATTACACTTGAGTTTATGTGTGCTGGTGTGCATATGCTATGCACGTAGTTTAACCGCCACATGTTACAGAGGACCATCTAATCGATTTGGAGGTCCTGATTTTAAGTGAGGAATTGAGACCCCATAAAATAATAAAGAATATAAAATTTAACAATGAAATAAAAATAAATTAGATATTCAATGAAATATGTGTTTTATAATGTTTTAAGGATACAAATTAAACAATCTAAAAGTTTTATACCTTTTGGAATTTTAAATATACATGACATTTAGAAAAATCAACCTATAACTAATATTCCACCTTTCCACTAACAATATAATGGGACAAGAGAGAGTAACACGCAAATCAATAAAAAATGATTTATGTAGTTATATAGAATTGACAAATTAAGAATGATTTAGAGTCAAACAAACTTTACCAAATTTGATTTGAGACAATCTTAGTGGGATAAGCCGGAAAGGTAAAATGGAACAAACTTAGCGAGACAAAGAAATTACTACATACTAAATTTATAGAGAATCCCCTATAAGAGTGAACTCCAGTGCCAAACACCTATTTTACTTAAAGACGTCCCTGATACTTCTGTCAAATGGAGCATATGTGCTACAAATCTTACCGTCCTAATTATGAAATATTTTATTAATGCATTGAGTGACGGTCAAATAGAAGGCAAATAGAGGCAATTACCCCCTTCCCCCAATTTCATAAATAGGTATAATTATAACAACAATATTACATGCACTAATATTTATAGTTTTTACTCTACTTCTTCTTCCACCCGAAGAATCTGTTGCTTGCCACTCCACCTCGTGCAATGCACCGGTGATATTTATGAATAACTAACATGTACGGAGTAGTATTTATAGTTATTCATAAATATCACCCGTGCGTTGATGTGGTGGATATCTTACACGCATTCAACAAATTAGGATTGTGTCTTGTTTGAGATTGATTTATGGGTGCTACGAGGACAAGGTTCATTCTCTTTAAGGAGCTCATCTCTCAAAAACTCCAAATGTGCTTGGTAGAGAGTGGCTGTATCGGGCCCTGCAAGGCGGGTGGTACATTTGGTTCATATGAATGATGGTGAGGCGGGCGGTACATTTGGTTCAGATGAATGATGGTGGTACATCGGGTTTCGATCCTCGCAGGTTCCACCCCTAGATGGAGGATGGTGGCTAGTTGTAGTGCACGAAAAGATGGGCACAAAGGAGGACTTATGATATTTTTACTTGGATTGTTTTCAATTTCAAACTATATCGCCAAGTACCCTATGGTCTGATGGCATCACTGTGACACTCCCAAGGAGGAGGTCACAGGTTCGAATCGCATCCCAGTTCAAAGATGTTGACATTAACATTGAGCAGATACTATATATATGTTTAGAAAGAATTGACAAAAAAATCAAACTATATCAGATCAGACTTTGATAATTATAAAGTGTACACAGATTAGACATCTATAAGATCAGATCAATTTAGATTAGACCAAACTAGATCAGACTAGACCGGATAATTTCAATTCAATTAAAAATATTCTCAAAAAATATCTTTGAAGTAATTAAAGAGGAGGCTGATTTTATTGACCTCATCTAAGGTGGAGATCACCCCTACCTTATATGTTTTTTTTGCCATGTGACATATCAATTCTTTTTTTAATTGTTACAACTTTATATTTGTGCTCCAATTGTTAACAAAAAAATAAAATAAAACAGATTTACTCTGTTCCATAAAATACTTCTCACTTACAGATTTATATTTGTACATCTCACTCAACCACCCTTTTTGAGTTGTTTGTGATAGACAATTTGTCTACGAGAATAGACAAATGTATAAAAAAGATGTACACATTTTGTCTATATTCATTTTCTAAATGTAATGTTCTCGTGTAAAAGCTCAAATGCTCAATGGGATGGGGTAAACAACTAAACATCACCCTTTTGAGGGTGAACAAATTTAAGAGCCTAATTTGTCCCTCGTGCCAAAGTTTGACACATCGGCAAAATCAACCGAGCATAGTTCTGAATCTTGATTCAGCAATTCATCATCAACTGATTCCGCCAACGAACCTCCTCTGAAATTCGAACACGAGCAGCAATCTGTACGAGGAACACATAGCAATTGTGGTTTCCTTCAGAGTTGGAAACTAGCAATTTTACTCTTCCCACCTTCAAATAAGAGGCTCAAATGACTTAGGGTTTACAGTGAATCACCCACAGCTCAACCTAGAAACCAACGTGATAAAGCAGGGACAATGGCATTTTGGAGCCGATTCAAGGAATCTCAGATCAGGGTCTTGTCAAACGGACTAAAAAGATTCCATCTTCAAACACATAATCATGGTCAACTGCAGCATGGTGGTACCTTGACACATGCCATCTGCCTTACGAACAGTCCCAGTCTAACTAACCGCGCGAATCGGGGCGAGATTCTTAACAGCGCCAGGTTCTTTGCTGCACCAGTGCAGGCAGGTTCTTCGTTCGTAGTTAGCTCCAATTTACAGTAGCTTGCACTCACTCAAGAATTCTCATGTTCAAGGGCGTTATTACGATTTGCAGGCTCATCAGAAGGAAGAGAAGGACAAAGATGGATGTAGATTGAATGAGAAGATTACTGCACCTTTCGTTCGTCTAGTCACTGATGAAGGTAGTATCATCTGGCTTCATCTTTATTTTTATATGTATATATAAATATAAATAAAGGAAGCTAAACTGGGAAGCTAAACTGGGAAAAGTGAGCCAGTGTGTATAATCTAAATGTTTAACTGCTGAGTGAAAACAGTTTCAGTTTATGCACAGACTTTCCTTCTGAGTTTAATGTAAGTTCATATGCAGGTCACACTGTAGTATCAAGGTTTGAGGCTCTGGATCGGGCTAAGCATTGTAATCTAGATCTAGTGGAGGTAAGTTCTCATATGAACATCAAAGTGGCTGTGGAAACAAATTATCAGTTGTCTCAGTCTCTCAGCAGTCACTGCTTGTTGCACAAGATTTTATAGAGAAATATAGACAAAGTAATTCATCTTAAAGCTTTATCTAATGCCTATACGCTTTATTGTGAATTTGTGACACTGTAGGTCGATCGAGCAGCTGATCCACCTGTCTGCAAGATTATGGACTATCATAAAGAAACCTATGTTAAACATGTAAAGGATAAAGAAAAAGCTAAGAAGAAGGTATGTAATGTCGTATTTCGGTTCTTTTCTATTAACCACAGTACTACTTGTCTACACTTAGACAAAGGCTTACACATAATCTGCATATTGCAGTGAGGGGTGTTTTATGGTTATTAATTCTTGAGAGAACATTGTTGGCGTAAGCTCTATGATAGATGAAAAGCAAGTGCTTAGGTTTTAGCTTCAGTGTGTGTGTATGCTCTCAGTGGATTTTCCATTGGTTCAGTAGCCAACACAGTTAAATTTGAATTATGTTTTGATTATTGTTGTTGCTCTAATATATTTAGTTTTTATATCTGTTATAAATTTCTTGCAGTCTGATTTGACTTTAAAGAAGGGTGGTTGCAAGGAAGTCCGGTTTCACTGTAAAACTGTAAGTTTCTCTTTTACTCTCCCTTCAGAGTTTTTGCAGTACTTGATTCTTACTGTCAATGAAGGGTAATAATTTACTCTTTGAAGATAATGACTTTTGATTACCAGAATGCTTTACTTGTAATTTACTATCTGGTTTCCTTGTTTTGCTTCATTTTTCCTGCTTTGTCACTGGAGTTTATATGTTTGCAGTTTTGCACTTAGAGCTTCTACATTCTTGGCCTCTGTCTTGTAGGCTATACCTTAAGAAACTAATGTACACTGAAATGAATGAAACACAGTTGAAAGAAGTGCATTTTTGAGTTCATGATGATTATGATCATCATCTGAATTGGTTTTCATATACACCTTCATATTGTGTTTGATATAGGAACAAAAGGATCTGAAGACTAAAGCAGATACAATTAAGAGAATGATGGACAAAGGATATCGGGTTAAGGTATTTGATTAATCACCAACAATTCTATTTTGTGATATTCCTTCATATATTACCCCATGTGAGCTTTATTAACCTGATAGCCAACTAAACATGTTTTTACTTGGACTGCTTTACGTCCCAGACCAGACCAGACTTGGATAATTATAAAATACACACCAAACATTTACTAGACCAGATCAGACCATAAAATTTCAGTCCAAGTGAAAACATCATAAGCCAAAAGAAATCCCCTTGCATGATCGATTTTTCACCCACAGGCTTATAGACTTTTGCCTTATTTTCTTTCCGTTGTCGAGCAGTGTATGGCAGTGGGCAGTGGTTCTGAGAATGAGAAACTGGGAGAGGTGCTGGCACATTTTTCTTCCCTGGTAAGAATATTAGTTTCGCTGAGTATATATTTGGGTATTAGAACGTGGTAGGAATGAGTTTCGGAGGCGGGGGTACCAAAGAGAGTTAGTTGCTTCTGTTTGGTTCTACATAGGGAAACCTAAAAAAATGAAACATGATTGTAATATCTTGTTCATGTTTTATACGTAGTACTATGTATAAAATAAGTCGATAAAATGAAATTTAGCAAGTGCCATTTTTAAGTTTTCACCAGTGTTTTATTTCACCCCGACATTTTATTTCCTTCAAAATTCCCCTTATGCTCTTTCTCCAAAGTTAAATTTGTGTGCTTTGCCACAGATAGAAGATGTTGGGTTAATAGAGAGCGGTCCCCATGTGGAAAAGAAGCAGGCATATATTGTCATCAGGCATGCCAAGTTTGGGCCATTAAAGAAGGGTTCACAAAAGAAGACAGCTGCCTCTAAGGTTGGCCTTACACTTTCAGCTATTGATGACGATCAAGAATGTGGAGTGGAGGATACTGAAGCTGTTGGGGATGAAGATGGCAGCATTACAGAAGATTTGACTGATGAAGACGTGGAAGATACGTTTGACAGGAGGGCTTTCGATGAGGGTAGAACCGTCATTAACCAGCCAGTGGAGAGAGAAAATAATAGGTACAGACGAGAATCACCACCACCACCCCTACCAGTGACTGCATCTTCATCACCTGCGGCGGAGAGAGAAAATAGGTACAAACGAGAATCACCACCACCACCAGTGACTGCATCTTTATCGCCTGCAGCGGAGAGAGAAAATAGGTACAGACGAGAACCGCCACCACCACCAGTGACTGCATCTTCATCACCTGCAGTAGAAAATAGGTACAGACGAGAACCTCCACCTCCACCGCCACCACCAGTGACTGCATCTTCATCACCTGCAGTAGAAAATAGGTACCAAAGGGAGACCACGCCACCACCAGTGACTGCATCTTCATCACCTGCAGTCGAAAATAGGTACAGAAGGGAGACCACTCTGCCGCCGCCGCCACCGTCATGGCGGGCAGCACCTTCTGTTGCGGGAGAAAATAGGACTAATTATAACAGAAGAGAACCACCACCACTGCCACCCCCACCCCCACAATTTAAAATGAATCCTTCCCTGCATCCACCTCCAAGAAGCTCATCAGATTCCAATTTCTTGAATACTAATAATAGGTCTTCTCCATCAGGTGGTACTCATAGTAGATCTCCCCCCTCAGATTATAGTACCTTCAATATCCCAAAAGCTGAAAATGCTCCTGCAGAAGGGAATGTAGCAGGAGTTTATAATAGATACAAGAAAGAAAATAGGGGTAGTTCTGCAAGATATTCAACGGACCCTTAAAAGGCAGGGAAAGTGATTACACTTATTTGTTAACTGTGGAAACTCAACAATGGATTGCTGAGGTCTCTTCCATTTGAGAAGATCAGAAAATGCGGTTTAGAAATTTGTTAATAATTGATTCTCTTCTCATGTCCTAAAATAATTGTGCCGCTTATACTACATTGATTTACGCATTGATTTGTATTGATGTACTTGCTGCTTCATTTTATTTGCGTTTCACAATTTTATCTTTTCTTGAAGTCTCGCTTCTGCATAATGAGATGCTGGAATGCTGGATATCTGCTTTGTCACAGTTAAAAAATAATCCCTAAGAAATCATTTTGAGTAGCGAAGTTTAATTTCATTACATGCGTGGTCCAAATGTACTGTCCATAGTGATGGACCTGGGCCGGGCCCCGGTGGTACTAGTATACTGGTACTAGAAAATTGGAGCACGGTACCAGCCCGATATGCTTTGGGACCGGACCGGGCCCAAACAGTATCAGGCCCGGATCGGTACCACCCATTTATTTATTTTGAAAAATTGCAGTTGGGCCCGGACCGGGCACAAAAAATCGAGCCCTATGCCTGCCCCTTATAACCATTGGTCCGGGTATCGGGTCGGTACGGGGCCCCGGAAAACCGGACCGAGCCTAAACAGTACTAGTGTTTCAAATTTAGAGATGCTTGCGGTTCCTCGAATCCCAAGTAATTGCACCTGTAGTGGGGCGTGTGGGGTGTAAAAAGATTTGAGATGTTTTTGATTGAATTTGTTTCAGTCCCACATTACTCTCATACCCGATTAAAATAGATTAAGCTTAGACCATAATAAAATAGAGCAATCATCTAATACAACCGGTCGGACCGAAAGTGCTGTACGACCAAGCCCATTTGAGTTGCTCTCGGTTAGAATTTTTTAATGAAATTTTATGAGCATGTTTATCGTAGATTCCCTCCCCAAAGTTTCAACTTAAAATTCAACCGGGAAGTCGATTAAATAAATTATTGAAAAACACAACACAAAAATATGCATACAATAGTGTTTTCAATAATTTATTTAAACTGATTTTCCAATTGAATCTTAAACTGAATTTTTGTGGACACAATCTACATTTCATGATGAACATGCTCACAAATTTCCATACAAAATTCTACTCGAAAGCACCTCAAATGAGCATGGCCGTACAACACTTCTGGTCACTCGTCACTCACTCCGGTCATATGAGAATATTCTTCTAGAAAAACATGCGTACATCAGTTACCAGATTAAATCAAATTAAATTTAAATAAGTCAGAATGGAATGCATTTAAACAGACACAATTAGCAATGTCTCAAATCTCACAACTTATGTGCAGTGAGGGGGTCTCGGCCCTCGGGTTTGGCCAGCAACCAATAGGTGGCGATGGTGGTCAACATCGGCAAAAGACAACAAAGATGTCAACCGGAGATGGTGGACGCCATAGGTGATGTTGGCGGTGAAGATAACAACCACTCCAGGTGGTACCGTGGTAGTAAGTGAAGGTTGTCATAAATGACAATGGTTGGCTATGAGCCTATGAATGGCAGTACTAAATAAAAAATTGATAGATCAAAACTGATTGGCAAATCAATCAGAACTGGATCAAGAAATCCAAAACAAGCTATTATATGCATTTTGCTTTACAATTTATGATTATTCTTAACAAACTGATTGAACCGAAAAAACTAAGGAATACATGCTCAAGCCGATCAAAATGGATGAGAAACCAATTGAAAACAACTAAATCAAACTGATATAAGTTATTTGGTTCAATTATGGTTCCACTTTTTCAATACTAAACATAAATTGACAAAATGAGACCAACAATACACCAAGTGGTGGTGATCGGCGATGGTGCCAACCATTGGTATGACAGAAGACGGTGCCGGGAGACCGCAGTTATGGTGGATGGCAGTGGTAGAGGTCACAGAGCGGAAACTTTAGGATGGCAGCACTAGTAACGGCGCCAACCACACGGTTGTGGCAGTTGGACGGTGGTGCCGATGATGGTAGCGGGAGCAAGAAAATTGAATTTGCACATAAGTTTTTAAAAATGTGCTCCAAATAGAACTAAAATCTAGACAAAATACACAAATAGGAGTGCTTATGTTTATTTTTCAAATAAAACTAGCTTCATCCTATTAAAAATATAATACTTTCTCAATTAGAAGTGTATTAGAAGTGTATTTTAGGAAGAAAGTAATGCGCTCCTATATGTGCACTTTATCTATATTTTGATCCCATTTAAGGAATTTTCTTTGATTTTTACTCCAATTGCTTCTACACCCATTATAAATCTTTTGAGCTTGCACCCCTTAACCCCACAATTGAGTTACTTTTGTTGGACTTTGCACCTTATGCTTAAATTAAACATTTGAGTCTGCAGCCATTTTTAGGCCTTTAGGGTGCGAATTCAAAAGATTGTAGAGAATAATTTAGCAAAGTACACTTGCAAAGTAAACATAAGACACTTACAATTAAATTAATTTTTGAAGCAGTAAAGGAACAACAGCACTTTCGGATTACAACATATAATTTTCCTGGTCAAAATATACCAGAACAGGAATGCTAAAGAACCCCGTAATAAGATATTCAAGGCTAGAAAGTGATCTATTTAACACAATCATGAGCTAGATATGGAGTCAATAACCTTCAAAATAAGTTATTTACGTGGACTGGTGGCAAAAGCATTCTCTTGCTTTCCTGCTATTTACTAAAACATGAAGTATTTGTATTTTATTATTAACTCGGTATATATTATAATAGTATCACTGCCATTGTTCACAGAACTTGGGAGCCTCCAAGAGACAGATTGGATAACTTGCACCAGAAGAAAGTAATCAATCTCTTTTATCTTTCCATCTCAATGGCCTTTTTAATTAACACGAATAATCTCTTATTAATAAGGATGCTTGCCTGGCCAGTTGTCTCTGTAGTCCAGTTTGCCCCACAACTGAAACAGACTGATGGGCTTCATTGCCCTTTTCTGTGTATCTTACATTGCAATGTTTTTGGTTATGATATTGCATCCTACTTCAAAGAAGACGACAGCTGAAGAGAATGAGATCATAGAGGTGAAGCAACCAGCTCCTCCACATTCTGTGTCATCCTCCACCGATCCCTCCGTTTTTGAGCGTGAGTTCATCACTCCCAGAAATCCAATAGGATATCAGTCTATCCAGAATTATCCTTAAACAGGACACATTTACTTCAAAAACTATTTGTACTGCTAACTAATACCCTTAGTGATATATAAATTCTGCGTATTAGCCCCCCCCCCCCCCATAGCGGAGAATTTGATATACCATCGGAAAACAGCACGAAGACTATGATTTCTGGATTAATCTAACAAGAAAATTTTGACAAATTAATAGATTTGAAGGAGATTGGTTCGCTGGTTGAGGCTGGAGGATATGAAGGAGAAGTCAGGAAGATTGCAAGGGCATTAAGGTTAACGATGGGATTAAGGAAGAAGCTTAATGCTTCTGTGGTGTCTTCCTTCCTGAATTATGCCCTAACAACACCTGCTGGATCAGAACTTCACGCTCAGCTAGCTGCTTACCTGATGCCACTTATTTTGTTGAATGTATCTTAACACTTACGTAGTACTTTTTAAGTAATTAATGTTCTAAAATTTGCCTTAATAACAACATTAATGCCTTACAATGCCCGATAAATTGATAGGAAGATGAGGCTGATATGGAAGTCGACACTACAAAGCAACTTGTGTCCGAGCTTGAGATTTATTGCTACTTACTTGTTCTTATACATCTGATTGATCAGGGGAAGTACGATGAGGTTTGTTGAATTCTTCAAATCGTTCATTTAAAAAAAACCATGTAAATTGCTATCCTAAAGTTGTTTTCCTTGGCAGGCAAAGGCTTGTTCTTTAGCAAGCATTACTCGCCTTAAGACCTTAAACTTGAAGACTGTTGATGTTATTGCTTCTAAGATCTACTACTACTATTCTTTGACCTATGAACGTACCGGTCATCTTTCTGATATTCGAGGGTATGTACCTTTAGGTCCATATTTCCTAAATGTAAACTTAATACTGAAAATATATGCGATTATATATTACATTGTGAGCGGGAAATGTACATTTTCTTTTTTCCCATCTTTCAACCACCTAGGTTCTACTACGCTTTTCTTATCCATTTTTTTTACAGTAACCTCCTTACTTTGCACCGAATTGCAACACATAGACGCGCTGAGCTCGGTCAGGTTTGTTGTATAGAATCCAACTCTTGATTCTATTATTGAAAATTTTCTATTTTTTGTACTTGATGTGATGACTGGTGTAGGAAATGCTTCTTAACCTGGTACTTAGGAATTACCTTCACTACAACCTGTATGATCAAGCGGAGAAATTTAGATCAAAGGCACCCTGTTTCCAAGCTAAATCAAACCATCAGGCAACTCGCTAACTACACTTTTTTCTCACTATGACAAGATTCTGTTTGTCTATAAATGGACTCACTCAGCTTTGTGTTACTTTTCTTTGTTTTCCAGTTTTGTAGGTACCTTTTCTATCTTGGAAAGATAAGGACTATTCAGTTGGAATATACAGACGCTAAAGAGTATCTCTATCAAGCTGCCCAAAAGGCACCAGTTTCTGCACTTGGGTTCTTAGTCCAATGCAATAAGTGGGCCATAATGGTTCACCTATTGCTTGGTGAAATCCCTAAAAGGACCGTTTTTATGCAAAAGGGGATG